GACGGCCGCAGCTGCTACGCCGACAGTACTATGGAAGTATAAATATACTATAGAAAATCTAAAATTATATATATATATAATTTTAGATTATTTACTCCTGATATGAGTTAATTGTAAAAGCTTTTAAGTTCAAACCTTCACATTTGATTTGGGGCTCTCTTGCCACTCTGCTGCGTGGGGAATTCGATCTCTCACACACTCTCCTCTCTATATATATTCTCTCTCTCCCTTCCCTCTCTCTCTCCTCTCTTTGTGTGGCCGCGCGTGTGTGTGGTGTGTGTTGTGTGTGTGTGTGCGGCGCGCGCGCCGCGCGCGCGTGTGTGTGTGGTGTGTATGTTGCTGTGTTAGTGTGTGTTGGGCGTGTGCGTCGGCTGCTGTGCGTGTTGTGTGTGTGCGTGCTTGTTGTAGTGCTGTGTTGCTGTGTGTGTGTGTTCTCGTGATTGGTGCGTGTGTGCTGTGTGTGCCCATCTCTCTCACTCACCTTCCCTCTTCCTGCCATCATCTTCACCGTATTCTCTTTAATCTCGAAACTTCTTTCACAGACAGATAATATAACACAACTAATCTATCTATTTATACTCATGTCTCAGCATGCAGCTGGACTGTATTCTCCTATTTCCCATCCTCTGCCTCGCGCGCCGCTCTCTCGCGCCGTTACCGACCGCAGCTACACAATTTTCCCCTGAGTTTATTTATGATTCACGCCGTGCTGTGAACGCTTGATTATCGAACGTTTTTAGAATCAATGCATTTGGAGGCAGAATTTAATACAGTTCATAAACGAACTCACGCCGTATTAGGAAGCGGAAATGGTGAGGACGACTAGGTCGATTGCATGGTGGTGAGAGGGTGGATGATGATGTCGAGCGGGGTTCGGGTGGGTGGATGGTGGTGAGGGGGATGGATGGTGGTGACGGGGTGTGGGTCGATGGATGGCTGAATGGTGGGGGGTGAATGGTGGTGAAGGTGAGGTGGTGGCATAATATTGGTGTCAGCCGCCTGCGTGGTTTATGATCCAATAAGAATAATCTTATTATATTTACCTTTCAAACAATTCATATATAATTTACTATATTAGCATTATATTGAATTAATCATTATTATTACTATATATATATATATATATATATATATATATATATATATGTATATGTATATTAATAATAAAAAGAAGTAAATACGTACGTATTATTATCTCTAGTTTTACTCATATTCGCAGTTACATCTAGAGAAACCGATTGCAAACACATATGCAATCCTTTACTCCTGATTAGAGTCATTAATCCTGCTAACTTATTTATAAAAGTGAAGGTTGTGCTGCTGCTACCTTGCCGCAATACATCGCGCCTCAGTGCGTGTTTAATTTGTTAGCTTACGTCCACACCCTGGTCGCACGCGCCGGTTCGATATGCGCAAAATAACAGCCCTGACACGAACTCTTTTTACGTTTGGTCGAGCGGCACAGCCAGATATCCCTATATACTCCACTACTATAAGGGGTATTTATATTATAGGTAGTATATTAGGAGAGGGGCACACGCGGATGCGCACGCGTTTCCTGCCTAACAGAACGGAAATAATTAATTTTATTTCTAAAGAGAACAATAATAAAATGAGGTAATAAAATAACGAAAAAACACTGCTCTAAACAATAAAATTTACCCTGGGAAAAGACGCGTAGACAAGAAATGTGATAATGTAGGGGTTTTCTCGTATTTTCTTACAGTGTTAGTGTTAAGACGCCGGCGGGTGGTGAGAGAGACGGTAAGCCTAATTTTGTTTTCTATGGCTTGTGCAGCGAAGCGGTGTTAACAGCTATGAGTCAATGTTGAAAGAAACGTCGTAAATGCCAAGAACGTCTTTTGTTAGGAGCACAATGTCGCCACAGCAGAATTGTTTACAACAAGTGCCGCGCGGAGCGACAGCGCTCTGCTGGTGGGTAGTGGTGCGGATTCTGCGTAAACCCTGTAGTTCCAAATGTGTTCACTTACGCGCCGAAACAGTGGGAGCACAGGGATGATTCAGGAACCTTCTCAAAAGAATGTTCGTTGTGGATCGTTTATGAAAGTTGCCACGAAGATGTGCGCGTTATGCTTAAGTGTCTTAAGATTAAAGATGGAGCTCCCATCGTACGTAGTAGTAACAACTATTTGCAAGACAGAATAGGTAAGCACTCATCCATTTACCTACGCAAGCCTACAGGCTCTAAAATAGAGAGCTGCCACGCTGTAACTAATTTAACGCAGAGCAAAAACTACACAGTACCACCACCACATGCACTGGCAGTGGATTACGTTACATGTAACATACTGACAGTACAGAATGCCATAGAAATTATACGATTTAAGGAGCATAAACCTTCTTCAACCAAATTTAGCTTGTTGAAATTTCACTGTGACATTGTAGCCTCATACATCCAGGCATGTATTAGTTCTACTAGCAAACCCGGCAGTCAAATTCTTTCTAACAGTAAACAAATCCATGTTTAACCCTCCTCTTGAGGGTCAAAAGGTTATCGACACTTACTCTTCGCATTGTCAGCAGGAAAGTACATTTCATGGTCCTTTCAATAAAGCCATAAAAATGCTAGGTCACTGCGGAAACAAAAAGAGTTTTTTCAATCGCTCCGTCCAGACCATGTCCTCAGAAAATGTCTAAAATCTGCCCTGTGCCCCATTGACCTTTGACCTGTGACCTCCAATTTCGCACGAGTGATGGCTTTTCATCCATGATGCATACACCGACTATCACGAGCCTAGGTCGAGCCGTTTAGATTTGTTGCCGCTAATTCTGCATTTCCGACCTATACCTTAAGTTAAGGAGGAATGTTCCCCCTTCTTTTACACCTCTTGACCTTTGACCTTTGACCCCCAGCTTCAAACACCAATCGTTTTTCGATTACCCCCCACGTCCCGAATATCGTGACCGTACGTCGAGTGGTTAAGATTTGTGCCCAACTGTTGACGCACGCACGGCCGGACGGCCGGACGGACGGACGCACGATCATGCGATTCTACAAGATGCATCTGACTACGTCAGATGAGCTAAAAATACAATCTCAAAATACATATTACGAATCGAAATTTTGTACGGATGTTATGAAACACTCATATCTGAAAGAGATATATAAGCAACTCACGTATAGAAACTACAATCAGCATTCCAATATAAAAATAATTATAAAACACCACGTCTCTAAAATGTAGCACAGGGAATCAGTGTGCTAATGCCAAGTTCAAATAACTGACATCGCCTGCGTCGGGCCTCCGTCCTCAAGTCATTAAGCATATTTATGAGCGATTATATTAAGAAAATATGACTCACCATTTTTAAACAAGACGCGCCGGCTCTATGTACTGTTGCACAGGGAATCAACGTATTGATGCGAAGATCATGCATGCGCCAAGAAAACATCAGCGGAGTCGAGCTGTTGTATTTAAATCATGGAGTTCGTGCATGTAATCAGCTCTCAATATTCGGTTAGCATTGGTAATTTAAATAATTATAAAGCGCCCCGTCTCTATACTCTAGCATATATGTCAGACATGTGACACATACAGTCCCAAGTCCATAGTACAGTGAATCGCAAATAAAACATAACACGTAGAGCCACTGCACGCAAATCATGGCTCACGTCTGTATGAGCAGCGCTACCTAAGAAATTTCAATCAGCATTGAGTGTACTTAAATAATAATAAGATGCCTCGGCTCCATTCTCTAACATGGGCCATCAATATGGTAATCATCATAATGGATATTCGATCACCGGTACTGTAGAATGTAGAACCGATATCGTATTTTAGCCTGGACTAAAATGATATTTCACTGTAAGCAAATAACATTTAGGCAATAATGAGTAAAGAAACATAAAGAACCTCCTAATTGGCATTCGTCCAACTATCTGTTATCAGAAAGCAAAGTAATAACAGGAGCACAAAGTATCCAAAAGCGCAAAAAAAAACTAGCGACTGCCTACAAATTACTAAGGTAGAAACAATATTCTTCGAGAAAAAGTTGTCTTATTCAAACTCGTGAAAAACTCACGACGTCAAGCAGAGGAAGCTATTGAACACTCAATGTCAGCGTTTCTTCGTATGGTTATATATTCTCCATTTCGATTTTCTTCTTCTCCTACACCTCCTACTCCTTCTTTTTTATTTTCTTCTCCCCCTTTTCTTTTTATTTCTCCATTTAGTTTTTCTTGCTGTTGTATTTCGGCTTCGTCCTCCCGTCTTCTTTTTCTTCGTAGTCTTATTCGCTTTCTTCGTCTTGCTCTCATCTCTTCCTTAGTTTCTCAGTGGAAAACGCTGGCAGGCAGGAAGCCGTACATCAGCTATTCTCTATTCGACACCGATGTGCGTAAGTGCGGTGATGGATGTGTTGATGCAGATGCATCTCTACTGCTACATATGGGAGGGTCGAATGCAGGAAGACGAGTGCATTCGTAAACGAATGGATGAAAACCAAATATTAGAGCCATTATAAACGCAAATACAGCATAGTGTGTTTGCATAAGCCGCGTAAGCAAAGAATATTACACGTAAAAATTTATCTACCCGCTGCTGCAGTTAACAGCTAACTTAAGCGTCGCAGTAAAATAAAAATAAAAACTTTAGGTGCAATATACGAAACATAGGAGACGGTCGATGGAATTCGAACTATGTGCTGACTTGACTTTTACATCCGAGTGATACGACGACACTAATAAAACCGATGGTTGCCGAAGAACACCACTCTGAAAGTTAGTAAGACAACGAGTACACTCTCGAGAGCTAATTCTCAAGAGGCGTACAAAATTGAAAAGTAATTTGACCTTAATTCAACCAAATTTCCGCGAACCGGAGCACGCTCTCCTCTACCGGGCAGTGGTGCTAGCCTACGCACCACTCCAGAATCCACGCATCGTCGCAGCATCTCCGATTGTCCCGTGTGAGTAGGCAAACGTGAGCGTGATACAGGGAGGAAGGGGTAACCGACTATGAAGAGATAAGAACGCACGATGTCGTTTATACGTACATTTAACAAGTTTATTCTCTTAACCCCGCACCGCGCACGAACAAATTCATGTTTCATAATGCGGCCGACTTTCAGTAAAATACCATTTTGTAGATAACCGCTCCGTAACGCACCCAACCATAAAATCTTCTTAAAGGCAAGCATAATGTATATACGTATATATATATATATATATATTATATCATTATCATCATCACGGCATTGCACAGTAGAACCTGTACAAGTACCCATACGCAGATATACTAACTTCCCTATCCCCCTGCACTCTAGTTATTCGGCTCAGTGTAAATTTCATAAAAACACACATTACCATCCCAGGGCTACGGCTGCCGGAGGCTGTAGGCGTTGTTGCGTAGGAAGCACTACACATGCAATATTCACTTGTAGGCAGCATGTGGTAGCACCTACATTAACCTACGCCACTACACGAAGCTTGTCTACCACAGGTTATAGAAGCAGGTCGCACTCTCGAGGTTGGAATATTGTTAGTAACATCTAACTATAGACGATGATATATTTGAAGCTAAAGAGAGCGAGAAAACGTGAGAGAGAGATGGAAAGAATAAGTGAGAGAAAGCACTAAGTGAGCGAGAGAGCGATATATATATATATATTATATATATAACGAGAGAGAGGGAGCGAGAAAGAGAGAGAGAGAGAGAGAGAGAGAGAAAGAGAGAGAGAGGACATTTTTTTTTACATTATATTCGGTACTTTTCTCTCCGTTTCCCTGCCTATATATAGTTCTAATCCACTCTTGAATTCGCAAGCGTGCGGGTCACGTACGGCAACATTTAATAAGGGTATGGCAACGAGATATATATGACTGACAGCCTGTCTCAGCATTACCTAACCTACAGCGACACACATGCAGAGCAAACTAGCTGTAACGAAGAACTATTCTATTGATAACGACAGCTCTAAATATTTAATGCATGGACCGTTAGGGAACTGTCACTTCCCCTCCACACATTCCATATAATGACTTCACGCTGTTCCGACCGGACAAGCCGCAGTGTGCACTCACACGCTGCAGGCACGTCAGCTAACCTTGAACTCTGACATTCTCATGTGTAATGGCAATGAATACCTGTAATGTGATATTTCGATGTAACGTGCACTTCACACGGCACATAATTAAAAGTTAACTATGTAACTAGGAAAAGTAACCATGGTAACTAAAGTGCTTATTTAACAGTAATTAATAGGTAGATCTAGAGCGGCGTTCGATGACGCCAATAACTAATAACATGAGCTTTCTCTTACAGCCACATCTCATATCTCAGCTTCACCCCCCCCCCTCCGGCATCCACCAATTTCTCTCCTGTCATCTTCCACTCTTATCTCACCTCGCGTTCATAGCCAATCACGAGCAAATTACACAAAACAACGAGAAAATACAGTGGCAACTCTGCAGCGCAGACAGCCTAGTGAAATAACTTATATATTTACTCTATTATACTAAGCGCGTTCGTAACCAGCTTTAACTGTACAGTCCCCCGAGCTAACAAATCACCTAGACACCTGCATCGTTCTACGAGTAGACCTCCAGCGCCATCTACAGAGCAACAACGCAGGAGAATGGGTAAGCTCGACAGAGTTACCCGTTCCCATTAAAACATTAACGTCCGTGAGGAGGACGTGATGCCGGATTGATGACACTGGATACTGCCACTGCAGCACAATGTCAATCAACGACAGCTGCAACCTGCACGAGTACAATCAGCAACCAAGCAGATAACATGTGAACACACTGCCAGGAATACTGCTGTTGTCTTCTATGCTCACCCACATGTGTTCTGTCAAGAGTCCATAATAGAATCTTTTCCTATTATGGACTCTTGTTTCTGTTTATGGCTAAGGAAGCCTCACAAGTGAAGCCTTATAGAAAATTCCCTTCTTTTCCTTTACAGTATATATTATATATTCCACTGACATAACAGCAGTGCTGGATTTGCATCCAACAACACTGATTTACATTAACATGGCACAAACAAGTCCAACAACAAACTGATACACTCACCAAAATATAGCAATAATATCCAACATGTTGGAATCGACGCATCACGGGATAAAGAAACTGGAAGGTTCACGAGGAACTGAACGTGAATTCAGCAACACATAAGCACATCATAGTCACGACCCTTGCTCTCGCCACTACCAGAATTATTGAAGGGGTTAACCCCACGTTCCTTCCGACAATATCTTACATTTTTCTGAGAGGGCTGCAGAGATGGGCCAACAAGAAAGGAAACCCCTCCCCCTCCCCAATGTTCAGGCATGAGAACAGGTTGAGATGTTTTTGGAGGAAATATTTCAATTTGTGCCGATGGAACGATAACAATGTGCATAGCACATTGTCCTGCTAGGGGGGTCTGGGGGCATGGCCCCAGGAAATGTTTAAAAATTGTAAGGCCATTCTGTTCTTAGTAAAAGACCAATTTCGTGACTAACAATTCAACTTCTTGCCATTTTCTATGAAAATTTCAACGTTTTATGTGGCGGTTAACTTAAAGCATGCCTTAATTTACATTACATAGATACACCGCGATATTTATCTGGAGTTTCGTTACTTCTGTGAGAAATTTGACGTACCTTTTCTGACGTTATGGCGTCCATTTTGACAAAAAAAGTACACCTCACCCCACAAAAAAAACTTTTTATTAGTTTTTTGCATCAATTTCAAGAATGACTAAAATGAAAACCAAAACCCGGAAATCCGCGGCTAATTCTCATGCCTGAATGCGCCACATGAGCAGATGCTGCCATGAACTCCTCCCTCGTGCAAACCTTCCCCTCACGATTATTTTTGCCTCACAAACCCACTAAGAGGTGGCGCCACTAACCCGCCAGCCGCAGCCGCCTGGGATGCAGGTGGCGCCATCGAGGGCCCGGGCGGCGGAGGCGCGTACCCCGGATTAAAGTTCGGCGGCGCGTACCCCGGATTAAAGCTCGGCGGCGCGTACCCCTGCGGCTGCGACATCGGCGGCGCCCCCTGCGCAGACGCGGGCTGCTGCTGGAGATGCAAGACAGCCTGCGCGAGGCTAGGTGGCGCTGGCGGCGGGAACTCGGGGCGCGTGCGGTCCGACGTGACGCCCTGCAGCGTGTAGAGCTCACGCAGCATGAGCAGGATCGTGTCCTCGCTCTCCCAGTAGCACATGTGACTCGCCAGCGCAAACAGGTAGTCGTTGAGGCTCTCCATCGGTCGCTCCTGCAGCACGTAGTCGATACGGCGGCCGCCGCCGTTCAGCTGCCCGATAACGACCTCGTCCTCGTTAACGGCAGACGACGTGTCCGACGCGGCGTACACGTCCTGAGGATGAAAGACACGTGAGTTAGCGAGTGTTTGGTGGTTTGGTCGCGACAACGCGAGATGGGCTCGTTATTAGTTGTTAACTCTGTATCGCAAATACCTATTATCCTAACGATGATGATATCTCGTTTCTACCACCTCCCCCCGGGCATATCCCTGAATTATAACCCGAAATTATGACTGTTAGTAGTAAGTCTGAAACGTTTCTTACATAGTGTTAACTCCATCACATTATCATTCCTAATGTGGGGAATTAAATAAAAACATTGTTATCACACCACTAATGTTAGGACATAGGGGAAACTTTCCCACAAGGTTTGTTTGCCTAACTTAACGCATAACGCATAACGCATAACGCATAATCACCATCATTCTTAAAAACAAGTGCCGCAGAGCGACAGCGCTCATCTAACCTCTACTGCGGTGACTCTGTGGTGGAGTGGTGGGATTCTAGTAAACCCTGTTAGCCCCAAATGTGTTCACATACACGCCGAAACAGTGGAATGCACTGGGATGGTATCAGGAACCTTCTCAAAAGAATGTTCGTTGGGATCGTTATGAAAGTTGCCACGAGATGGCGCGTACGTTTAAGTGTCCTCAGATTTAAAGTATAGAAGCCCCAATCCATTATCGTATAGCAACAAACTTATTTGCAGAGACAGAATATGGTAAGCACTTCATACATTTACACCTACGCAAGCCTACAGCTGCAATGGCAATAAGAGCTGCCAACCTGTAGCACAATTAACGCCAGGCAAAAACTGCACCAACACTGATGCACTGGGCAGTGCATATCGTTACCATGTAACATACGACAGTGAAGTCAGAATGAACAAAGAAATTACGATTTAAGTGAACATACACCTGTCTTTAAACCAATTTCTTTGAAATTTCACTGGTGACATTGTAACCTAAACATCCACATGTAATAGATTCCTACTAGCAACCCGGCAAGTCAAATTCTTTCTAAGCAGACAGTCAACAAATCCAACTTGTTAACCCTCCTCTTGAGGGTGCAATAAGGTTATCCGACACTTACTCTTCGCAATGTCAGCAGAAGGGACATTTCATGTCTATTCAATAAAGCCATAAAAAATGCTAGGTTCACCGCTGAAACAAAAAAGTTTTTCAATCGCTCCGTCAGACGCATTCCCTCAGAAAAAAATTGTCTAAAATTCTGCCCTGTGCCCACTGACCTTTGACCTGTGACCTCCAATTTCGCACATTGTGGATGGCTTTCCTACCATGATGCTATAACACTGACTACACGAGGCCTAGTCGAGGCCGTTTAGATTTGCGTGGCCGCAATCTGGCATTTCCTCCCTATACCTTAAGTAAGGAGATGAAATGTTCCCCCTTCTTTTACACCTCTTGACCTTTGGACCTTGACTGCCCCAGCTTCGACATCCCAACTCGTTTTCGGATTAACCCCGCCCGTCCCAAATACGTGAACCGTACGTCGACGGTTAAAGAATTTGTGCCCAACTGTTGACGGACGCAACGGACGCACGGACGGAGACGGCCACGGACATCATGCCATGCGATTCTACAAGCTGCTCTGACATGTCAGATGAGGCTAATAATTACAAATGGATAGCACTTAACTAATATATTAGTAAACGTTAATATTGTAAAATTTTTATATAATATAAATATATAGTTATACATTTTCAATAGATGCAACATACAGTCTAAAACACATTTCATATGCAAACACTACACCTCCCAACTAAACAATAGCCAAATCAACAGTGATCATGTACGCTCTGCTAGTTTTACTTTGAGCAGTGATCTTTCAGAACACCCCAAGTCATGACACTAGTTCTCTTTCAGTCATACACAAGCAAACAGCATTGTCGCGCACGCACACTGTGACACACACACATGCACACTCACACACACACCCACACACCTATGCACGCACACACACACACAAACACGCACGCGCTTGCACACATGCAAGTGGACGCACACACACGCACGCACAAACACACACACACACACACACACACACACACACACACACACACACACACACACACACACACACACACACATATACACACCTGTTCTTTGCTCATGTCCTCTATCGCACTGTCCATCACAGCCTTCTGGACAGCATCCATCTCCTCTTGCCCGACGGTGTGCGAGCGTGTGAACTCAGCCACCGTGTGCCACGTGCTCCTAAATGTCTCTATCAGCTTCTGCTTGATGTCGGAACCTGTCGTCATGGAAACGCATGCCTGGTGAGTTGTAACTACAGATACACATGCCTCGTAATGGATATATGCAATCCATGTGTTTATAACTCCAGTGCAAACCATGTAAATATGGTTAGAAAATCATGTACTATTGTTACAAACCATGGAAGAACGTAACTACAGCTGCAGGTTTCCACAGCCAACGGCATGGAACCAACCACTACGTGACTCACCCCTAAGTGGCAGTAAAGAGCAAGTGAAATGATTTGGTGCACAAACACCGAGGGCAGGAACAAGGAAGACAGGAAATATAGCGCAGAAGGAGAAAGGCGAGCATACGAGAAGGCAGGTACAGTGTGGCCCCATTATATAACGCGATCGTTGGGGTCCATAAAATGTCAATGCAAAAAAGCGGGATCGCGCTAAATCAGGGTTAAAAAAAATCAGCGTATAAACTGACCCGCCACAGCAGCAAGTCATGTAAACTCATTTAGTTGCGCGATCTATAGGCGATCGTCGCTTCAACCTAAGGCCGGCTTTATTCACTAAACAACTTTTCAGTTCCGAAAAGAGCAAAAAAAGGTCCAATGACTCATCGCGTTATATCCAATTTCGCGTTAAATCGGGGCGTATACATACAAGCGGGCTTTCACTGGTACCTGGTTTAAAACTGTAAATTCGTACAGCTTCAACATTGTAGGGCAGTGTTTCCCACGGCCAAAAAGTCTGTGAGGTGGTAAATTTGTTTTGTCATGTTTGCGCATTTCGAGGTCTCAGCAAAGCGAGCACCGCAGGTACTCGCCCAGCTAGGGGGGTCCGGGGGACATGACCCACAAAAATTCTTTTGAAAAATGGTGCAATTTGGAGCATTCTACGCTATGTTGGTGCATTATAAGTCATAATATAACCAATGTTCTAAGGAACAACATTGATTTTCGTCAGCGAGGCGTGTTTTGGACAAATTTCTGTGTGGCGGCTGAGAATTTCAGCGAGGCGGCCCGCCTCGCTCGTGTCATTGCTGTAGGAAACAGTTACAATAAAAATGCGAATCCATGCACTGCTCACTGCTATAAAGAGTTAATTAGTAGGGTTACCTATTCTAGCCATGTTCTCCTTGATCTCTAGATGCATTCGTTTTCTTCCCTTGTGATGTGGAATGAGCACTGGCTTCAAATGGAAAGACTTGTTGATCATCGGTTCGATTCGATACGCAACCGGATCAAATGGATGAAAGATGTTGAAGAAACCCGGGCATGTCGGTAGTCTGTACTCCTCACACACCTACGCAAACAAACACACACACACGTCACTCTTACCCTTAACTATAACTGACCTATCTACCTGAAAGAGACAACCCAGGGTTCATAGTAGTAAGACACATGTTGAAATAAGGACTTATAAGACCCTTTCTGGAGGCCAAAATAAGACTTTTTTACGCGATTTCTGATAGATCACCGACTATTAAAGTGCACTAATAATATTTATATACACAATTACACAGCAGATTTAATTATTCCGTATTATATATACAACAAAAAAGACAAAAAATAAGGACTATTAAGTACTTTTCTAAGATTTCAACAAAAATAAGTATTAATAAGGGCCCTTATTTTATTTTTGGCAAAATAAGTACTTATAAGACTTTGGAAGACCCGCTACGAACCCTGCAACCATGTCTCTATTGGACACTGTTAATAACTTGCTCAAGTTACGTTGACTGTACATGGTGCATACCAGAATCTACATGAAAGAGACAATCATGTCTTTATTGGACACTGTTGATAGCTTACTCAAGTTACGTTGTCTGTACATGGTGCATACCAGAATGTAGCATAAGTTAACCCAGAATTATAAGAAGGCAGGCAATATGTGTAGGCTAGTCGCACATCATTACTACACATTGTTTTTGTAATGTTCTGTTGCAAAGCTAATCGGCTATAGTTTACAACTACTGAACTAGAGAATCTACAAACATAGAAAACAATGAATACCGGTATGCGAGGAAAAGGCAAATTAAAATGTGTACAAACATGCATGTACCATACAAACATGTATGACTACTCGTGTGTCCGTATTTCCCGGTCACCAGGAGTTTTTACTGACCTCGTTTACGCCCCGAACGGTAAGAAAGACAGCGATCGGCGATCCAAGCGCGAAGAAGGCGCACAGGTTAAAGTCGAGTTTCGGGTAGGCCACAGCCACCTGCCCCGTGCCACCCTGCCCCATCGTGTACGCTGCCGACGCAGTCGACAATGAACTACCGCCAAACTCCAGCTTCTCCTGCTGTCCAGCATCTGGCTTCTCCTGCTGCTGCTGCTGCAGGGGTTTCTTCGCTGGCTTCCTCTTCCTCTCCGCGTGCTCCTGTATGTAGATGAGCAGCTTCTTGCGTGGTCCCATCGGCACACCGAGGTCCTTCAGGTCCGACGCGTCGCACATGATCAGCGTGTCGAGGTCCATCTGCTCGCGCTCGAATATTGCGCCGTACTCCTCCAACCCCATCCCCTGCAGCACAGCCGCAAGCAAATCCACCTCCCCCTCGCCCACCTCCTCCTCCTCCGCTGCCTCCTCATCCTGCGGGGGCGATGGTGGCGGCGGAGCCTCAGGTGCCTCGCCCTGGTGCGCGAGGATGTCGAATACGATGAGCGATCCGAGGCTGTGTCCGGCGATGGAGACGCGCGTGCGGTCGAAGCTCGGGTTGCGCGCGAGGAAGAGCGCGAAGATGCGGTTCAGCTCTTGCGTGACGGCCTCGGCGATCGTCTGGCAGTATTTGGGACTCGTGTAGAAGAGCACGTCGAGGATCGTGTCGTTCGTGTAGTGCCGCAGCTTGCTGATGCTCGGCAGTGTGATCGCCTTCAGCAGCCGGTCGACGCCCGCGGGGCCGACGTGCAGCGACGTGTGCCACTGCACGGGGAGGTACTCGACGCGTCCGCACGCGCCCGCCGCCGCCGCCTCGCAGAAGTGCGTCTCGACGAGCGAGCGCGCGTGCAGCCGCATGCCGTCCGTGCACTCGATGACGTCGCGGAAGCGCAGGTCGCAGACCGAGCCGATGCCGTGCACGATGAAGACGAGATGGTCGATGCGCGCCGCCTCGCCGTCGTCGATCTCGTCGACGTCGGCGACGCCGCGCTTGACGACGCGCGGCCGCATGACCCTGAGGTCGCGATCAACCGCGCCCCACTCGTCCGCAAGCTGTGCGTCAGCGGCGGCAGCAAAATGCACGACGACGTCGCGGTTGTGCATGACGACCGAGTCGCCGCTCGGAAACTCGAGGCGGCGATTCCACGTGCCCGTCGTCGCGCCAGCATGGTACTCGGCCTCGAGGCGCGCCGAGAATGCCTCGTCATATGGTACGAAGATCGTCTCGCCCTCGGCGCGGTAGAACCACGTGCAGCGGCGCACCTCGGCCGCCGTCTCCTGCCAGTAGACAGCGCTGCACGTGCGCTCTTCGACGCTGACGTCGTAGCGGCCTCCCATCGTCGCGACGAAGCCCGGGGCGGCCTCGCCGCGCAGCAGCATCTGATGCACGTCCTCGAGGCGCATCGAGTCGACGAGAGAGAACGGCGTCCACTGCAGTTTACCGGCGATCGTCTTCTTGTGGAACCAGTGCGCGTGAACCTCCTCGTAGGCGGGCAGCTGCTCCTGCGACGCACCGTCCGTACCGTACGCCCTGCTCTCCTGTGACAGAGGCGGCGCCACCTGCTGGTGTGAAGGCACGGTGGGCGGCGGCGCGGCGCGCGACGTGTACACCTGCAACGGGGGTGCCACGGGTGCTACGTTGGCGGCCGGCGCATTCCAATATCCTGAAACAATGCGACGTCATCGCAATATAACAGATTTGTGTGATGTAGGGAACTATAACTATGGCTCCTTTTTTATTCAAAAACAAAAACACTTCAACTAATTTAGCCAACGCTAATCAAAACTTACTGTGAATTGGTAATGTAGACTAGTTGTTGTTTCAGGTGGATAGGGTCATTAGCTATGCCATACCCCTTAACCCCACTCCTAATGAAACACTAACCATAACCTCTAACCACATATCCAACAATACTCACTAATTAGTGTAGTGTGACACACACGTACCACACTAAATGGCCAATAATTGTTACTCACAATGTGTATGTACACCACCTACACTATACCACACCAGGGTTCTCCCTACTAGGCCTTTTTGTCACATGTCGGATCTGCCATACATTCAAAGCTAAAGGTAAATTGCGACATCACATGAATCCTCCCTCCTATATACTTTTAAACGCAGTGGATATTTACGGCAGAGTATCCACTTCTGCTATTTTACCATACAGTACTTCTGATTGGCCAGTATATTTATGTATGTGTATATATGTATGTTAGTATATTATGAATGTGTTCAAAAGGTTTTGTATTGGAAACGTGATTCACAGAAAATAGCTTCTGATGAAACGAGGCTACAAATGTGTAGAAATAAATGGGATTTGAACCAAAAAGTTTTCTAGATAGCTAAACCTTAATTATGGCTTCGAATATGGGATTTGAATGTAATGTTGATAACATCATAAATATACTAGCCAATCAAATGTGGTGTACGGTAAAATAGCGGAAGTGGATACTGGATACTCTGCCGTATATGGTTAAATATCCACTGCCTACTTTAAATTCCATCTGTGTTTACCTTGGCAACCTCAACACTGTTATGGCTAGTATCATTACAACACACGGAATTGACTCCAATGAATTAGGAATTGGGTTGAAATCGGGGTGGCGATAACCCAACATGCCATTTGAAATTTTTTGGGCCAAGCTTGTACACTCACTGTACCCACAAGTGTGAATGATTTCGAGTAATTTGGACCCACCGTAGTTTGAACCCAACAATTCGGACCCACTTTTTAGTAATTTGGACCCACTTTGGTAATTTGGACCCACCACATTTTCTACCAAATTTTTAACTGATATATTTCTAATATTCATTATAACAGTATAATAATACCAGGATAATACATATTTACTTCCGTATAGCAACATCTGTCAGAGGCTTACCTAGTAAACAATTATCGCGAGCTGGCGTGTTTATATTTTGGATATAATGTTTATTGAGTTGTACGTAATAAATCATAGCCATAGGTAAACTATGATGTAGGCCTACCTATTAACTCGATCGCTTAGATTTATTTTATTGAGTTGCACGTAATATTCTTATTAATAAATCATAGCCATGGCATAGGTAAACTAAGGCAAGCAAATGTTTAATTTCGTGTTTTGAGCGTGTCTAACTCCTGTAGGCCTACGTATTAACTCGCTTCGACAGGACTAAGTCTAAGACTAAGACTAAACTCAATGACAGACCTAGCTCCAAGAAACGGTCTTGCTAGGGTTAGAAGACAAATAGGCTACCTTATTAACCATTGTAATTTAGACCCACCACATTTTCGACCCAATTTTTTAACTGATATATTTCCAATATTCATTACAACAGTATAATAATACATATTTAGATACTTCCGTATAGCCTATCTCTCTCTCTATATATATATCCTATCTATTTTTTCTTAATGTATATGCACTGTTCTGTACTGTATCACTTAGAAAATTTTGTAAAGGACCACAATGTAAATAAGTGTGCTAGACATGCTTTTTGTGTATATATATCCTTGGTAGTTATCCAATTTCATTAATTCAGAATTTATTGTAAAAGTATGATATGTATGTCCCGATCTTTTGGTATGTTACGACGTAATCTTGGCTTTGCCGATTCTAAAACTCGGTCCCTGGCTTATAAAACTATGGTTCTGCCCATATTAGAATATGCTTCGCCAGGCTGCATGGTGCCCCTATACACTTCAGAACTGCTTTAAATTGAATTCCATTCAGCATAAAGCTGCGAAATATTATGGGTATCCAGAAACTATGATGAGAGTGTTGATGTTGTTTTGACTCGCCTTATATGGCCTCCTCTTCGTGTCCGCTTTCTTCATTCTAAACTTAAAACTTTCTATAAAATTTATCATGGTGAGATGAAAAATGCCATTCCCTCTTGCTTAATGAAGCCTATTCGCTGCACTCGATCATCTGAGTGTGATCACTGTTTTCAGTACGTGCTATCTTCTAAGGATCCTTTTAAGTTTAGCTTCTTTGGTTCTGTGATTCCGTATAATTAGAATTCCCTGCCTTCCTCTTTGGTAAATTGCACATTTTCAATCTTTTCCACTGCGATCCGCAGTGTGGATCTATCGATTTGATCCACTCCTCTCTCCGTCCTCCTCTATCTCAATTAAAAGTATGATATCTTGGGTGTACATGGGTTACAAAATCATTTTGGTGCATATTTCATTATAATCAGTATAAGACGTACGATATACTTGTGTACAGTCATTTTATTACATGAAAAAAGAAACCAACATTTAGTCTAAAATCTAAAAGCGTGTACACTCACTGTACCCACAAGTGTGAATAACTTATACAACACACTGTAGATTAGTGTGAGCGCGCGTGGGGGCAAGACTGACAGCGCGTTCACACGTACCGTAAAACCCAGTTTCGAACGCGTATCTTACGGACTCCGTACGATACGCGTGTAGCGTGACCTTGAGTTAAACAGCGTTCACACGTAGTTTTGAAATGTACGTACGTCGCGTTATAGCTGGCGCATAGGGCGGAAGAAAACGATAGATTTACGCCAAATGCGGTTATAAGTTCGTGCTTTTTGCTATACTCTCTTTCTCATTCTGTGTCCCATCTCTGTGTGTTGCGCCCGTCCTCTCTTCTCTTTCTCTCTCTCT